TTGAAAAAGCAATGTAATACACTGTAAAGTTATATGTAATCCAATGTAATATAAATAAGATTATGATGATAATAAAAAAAATAATTCTTTAAAGAAAAAAAAAGAATTCTAGGGGATAAGATCTGAAGACTCGGTTCTCCAGTGAGGTCTCCTTGGGAGATGGAAGGAATTCCCCAGCACCCTAGTACATCTGCTGCTGAGGGGATGAAGATTGCTGGCAGGAAGCGGGAATCAAGTGAAAAGTAGACTTATCAAAGGACATTTGGGGCAACACGGTGAATGTGGCCAGCCGCATGGAGAGTACAGGAGTCCTTGGCAAGATCCAAGTGAGGAGAATTAGGGGAGAGGGCGGGGTAAGGCTGCTTTCATACTCTCTTACTCCCTTTCAATTACAGGTGACGGAAGAGACAGCTCGGGCCCTGCAGTCCTTGGGCTACACCTGCTACAGCCGGGGTGTCATCAAGGTCAAAGGCAAAGGCCAGCTCTGCACCTACTTTCTAAACACAGACTTGACACGAGCTGGACCTCCTTCAGCTGCCCTCGGCTGAGAACCCTCAGCTCCCCAATATCCTCAGTAAAGAAACTCTGGGACGTCTGGAGCCAGCTGGTGTCGGACGCTGCTGGATATAACTAGGGATCATCTCCTTGCTCCTCACCCAGGTGGCTTCTTCCCGGGTCAAACTGAGTGTATGTGTGTGTGTTTGCACGTGGTTGTGCTGGCACACATATGCATAGGGGTATGTGTGTTGGAAGGGAGTGATTATTTTCACAAGCGTGGGAGAGGACTGCCTCAGCCTCCCCGCTGGCCTGCCAACCTCAATCCAGTATGTTGTGTACCTTGGAATTTCAGCCACATGACTCAGAACAAAGGTTGGTCCTTTCCTGCCCCTACCTTCATATATGAGAAGGGATGTCCAGGGAAATGTCATTCGGACCTTCAACCATTCAACAAACACTACGTAAGCACCTACCAGGTGTTTATTATCCAGAATGGCGAGAGGCTTTGAAATCATGTATGAGGACCTTTCCAGTTTCAGCCGCTGCCCTTAAATTGCCCACCATGCTTTTTAGCAAAGAACCGTATTTATTTTCACCAGATGTGATGCGCTTTGATTTCTTCCAATTTTTCAATATTATTTATTTCACTAGAAAAAGAAAAAGACCATATAGTTGGAGTCACTTTCTCACTTTCCCTCTCTCTCTCTCTCTCTCCCCCCCCCTCTCTTTATGGGAAATATCTGAAAAATACACTACTGCCACTGCTGCTGTCGTCTTCCTAAAATGCCAGAACAGAACTGAGCAAAGGTCCTCTAAGACAACAGGCAGCCCTGGGGAATAATGGCACATCCCTCTGGCTTTTGGGAATCTTTGTTTCCTAGGGTAACCATGGCCACTGAGAACTCAGCCTGGCCCTGTGCCAGGGTATGCAGTAGGGGCTGGCAGAAGCTGACCTACAGAATTCTAGGGGATAATTTTTAAAAAATAATTAGAATAATAATAATAATGATTGGGGAAAACAGAAAAGATATTGAATGTTAAAGCAGGGAGATTAATGTCTTTGTACTGACTGTCATGCATGGCATTCTCTTTTGAAAAAGCAATGTAATACACTGTAAAGTTATATGTAATCCAATGTAATATAAATAAGATTATGATGATAATAAAAAAAATAATTCTTTAAAGAAAAAAAAAGAATTCTAGGGGATAAGATCTGAAGACTCGGTTCTCCAGTGAGGTCTCCTTGGGAGATGGAAGGAATTCCCCAGCACCCTAGTACATCTGCTGCTGAGGGGATGAAGATTGCTGGCAGGAAGCGGGAATCAAGTGAAAAGTAGACTTATCAAAGGCTTTGGGGAAAATGCTTCGCAGCAGTGCTTTTTCTGAGAAAGTCCCTCTGAGTCACTGGAATCTGGAGTGATCAGCCCACCTGGGAGGGCTTCCTCCTACAAGCTCCTCCAGGAGTCTGCAGACTGTTTTCTTGGTAGGATCTGCAGACCACCTACCTCGGAATCACAGGCCAGCTGCGGGTGGTCTATGTCTTTGTCCCTTCCAAAATTGTAAACCATTGGGAACTAAAGGATATGACTCTCAGCTATTGAGAGGGACCCCATCAGGCCACCGACCTCACTCCAATCCCCCCAATATACCAGAGTTGACTGGATTCCAGACTTCACTTTTAATTGTGAAGCTGCGTCAGGAGCCAGGCTGGAGTTCTCTCCCTCTGTCCTCACTCGCCCCACCCTTCTCGCTTTCGCTCACCTCCGCCCCCCCACACACACCCATTCTCCCCCTCAGGGTACAGAATTGGGTCAGGCCAGCGAGGACACTCCTCCGGGAAGAAAGAGAAGGTCCTTCCACCAAGCCTAGTTCAGTTCGCCTCCCTCTGGAGCATTAGGGGAGGCAGTGAGGCTCTCAGCCGGCCCAGGTTCCAAAGCGGCTGGGGCGCCCTTCACCGTCTGGTTCAAGGTGCCCCCGCGGCGGGCGCTGGATGCCTCAGAGCCCGTGCCCTCCAGCAGTTTGGCGACGAAGCCCACTCCGGCCGAGCGCAGCAGGCCGCCCCCCGCGCACGCGTACAGTACGGGGTTCACGCTGCTGCTCAGGAAGGCGAGCGCGATGAGCACTTTGCGCGCCAGGACCAGCCGCATGCCGGTAGGCCCGGACTTGGCGGACAGGCCCGCCAGCGCGCGGCCCGCCTCGGCCAGGTTCACCACGTGGTAGGGCAGCCAGAAGGCGGCGAAGGCCAGGATGATGAGCGCCACCAGGCGGCCGGTGCGGCGGCTGCGGCGGAAGCGCCGGGACTGCAGCCTGCGCCCGATGTCAGAGTAACTGGCCACGACCGCCAGGAAGGGCAGCAGGAAGCCCGTGAAAGGCTCGA